AAGAAGTGGTCGGCACGTAGTTGCAGCGTGAGTAAAACATGTGAATGTAAATAAAACATGTGTCCTTTGATTTAGCCTGTAGAACGATGGCAAGAGTCAAGGCCAAGATGCTCAAATACCAGGCCACCTCGTGTGCACTCTGTAAAGGAAACCTCAACGTTCAACTTTCGCAGAGTTTGCTGGCGGTGAGTTTGAGTTTCTCTTATTGTTAAAAGTGAAGAAAAACCCAACCAACACCCCAGGACTTGTCTCTTAGAGAGGGCTGCAAGAATTTTCTTTTCTTTTCTGGGGGCTCAGAACAGCTCCCATCAGAAGAGAAACTGGGTCAGTTACCTGCCTCGGTAGCAGTTGTGAGGTTCTCCTAAGAATCATTTGGTGCTTCTTTTTACCTACAGTCTTAAGTGTGGCCTTATGGCTGCCTCTCAAGAAAAGCCACTTGGGAGGAGTGACAAGCCAAACTTCCCAAGTCCCCAGTACTGAGTCTCCTTTGAGGGAGAGCGAAAATGTTCCTCAAGCTACCCTACTGCACGTTAGGAAACAGTTTTCACAAATGACCCTTGACCTTGTTTGTCTTACATATTGCATTTAATAATTAATGGCTTTTAGGCACCATGAATCTTTAGGCCTTCATTTCCCTTTCTGTAACGTGGAATGAAACTGGTGATGAAACTCTAGACTATTTTGTTTAACTATGGTGTAGACACACATGCACTTAAATGTACCTTCCAGTTTCTTTTTCTTTTTTTAATTTTTTTTACTGTTTATTTATTTTTGAGAGAGACAGAGACAGAATGCGAGTGGGTTAGGGGCAGAGAGAGAGGGAGACACAGAATCCGAAGCGGGCTCCAGGCTCCGAGCTGGCAGCACAGAGCCCGACGTGGGACTCGAACTCACGAGCTGTGAGATCATGACCTGGGCCGAAGTAGGTCGCTCAACCGGCTGAGCCACCCAGGCGCCCCTGTACATTCCATTTTCACTAGGTTGGTGATGCTAGGAGAAAAAGGATGAGAACAGTCAGACCCACCAGTCCGTGAACATCTTTCAGATGCTAGGGCCATGTATTTGGTATTAGTTGACTACTGTTGTAACAATGTTATATAAAAGAAAACCAACCTGAACAAAAGGGTTATGAACAACGAGCTTGTGATTTCACGGTCTGTCATGGGATTTGACTACCATTTGGTTGATCTAGGCTGGGCTTTGGCAAGGTAGCTCTGCTTTAGGCTGTGGCTCCGCTGGGCTCAGCTCCAAAAGGTAGATTCAGCGCATGTCTGCTTTCTGTGTGTTTGCTCTGAAGCCTGAGATAATGGGGGCATGCTACCGAAAGCCCCCCGCCCCTGACAGGAAAACAAAAACCCATCCTGTAATTCTCTAGTTCTCCATCACAGTCTGCTGGTAATTACACAGCAGTTGTCTGTTTGCCTGCACTTTTCAGGGGCCATCGGTCTTATTCTTCTCGGGATCCATTACATCTTGAAAATTGTTTGGCAAACAAAAGGCGCTCTATAAGTGTTTTTGAGCTAGCAGATGCATAAGTGAATAAAATCTACATAAATCTATGCCAATACATTCTCAAAGGATTGTGCTAAAATGATGAATGGTTAAGCTACAATTTGTAATTAGGACAAGCTTGACCTGCTTGGGCAGTTGCTGAATCCTTTGAAGTTGACATGATGGAACACAAATGACAAATGGCCCTTCGTGTCAGCATTTGTGTCGTCCACCGGGCGGAATGGACCACTGACTTGACCTGTTTTTTTGTTTTTTTGTTTTTTTGTTTTTTTTGGTATTCATTCATGGGAACCTGGTGAAATAACTGAGAGAGGTCAGCAAGCGTCCACACAGGGCTTAGAGTCTTGAAAACATTGTATTTGGAATTATTAGCGGAAAATTATTAATTACCTACAAAGCATCAAGCAAGAAACTATGCCAGTAGTTCACTCAACGACCCCCTGGAGAGCAGTTCAAACACAATCCCATAAAGGCAAATGGAAGGCGTCCACAAAGAGTCCTCATGTCAGAGAACCACGAGCCGGCTTGCAGAATCCCGGCTTCCATGGGGAGTGGTTAGAAATGGCCACAGGACTGTGAAATCAGGTTTCACTCCCTCCTTCAACGTTCAGAGGTGAGTGATGCCGGGCATGTCACTTAACTCCTTTGAGTCTCAATTTTGTCACTTGTAAAAGGTAGATAATAACATCTGCCTCTTAGGGTTCATTGTGCAGATTAAATGGGACAGTGTAGGTGTAGTGCCTGGTGGGCTCTTCCTTTATTTATTTATGTTTTTGGTGCAAAGCCATTTTCTTTTTAAAGTTTGAAATTAGCTGTTCTTTGTGGACTGTTGAAGAAACTGCTATAGGGTTGATGGGGGGTGGGAGGGAGGGGAGGGTGGGTGATGGGTATTGACGAGGGCATCTTTTGGGATGAGCACTGGGTGTTGTATGGAAACCAATTTGACAATAAATTTCATATATTAAAAAATGAAGAAAGTGCTATACCCTTCATTTAACTTTTCTTTTGCCATTATCTTGGTTTGCTCTAGAAGTACACGATTATTTTAGTATTTGTCTATTTATCCAAGTCTATCTATTATCTGTACGATGTAAGTGGCATTAAATTGTTTATAAAGTGATCCAGCTGGTTTCTGTGGCTCAGTTTTTTAGTCTTTCTGAGCCTCAATTTCCCCACATGACTTTACTATTCAGGGTTTATTGAAGGTGTAAGAGTCTACGAATTCCACATCTCCCCATCTATCCACTAAGGAGCCACTGTTTTCTTATTGGTGCATCCGTCCTTCCATGATTCCGTCAAAGACACTTTCATGCCATTCACAAATAATCTCTTATAGTAAATGGTTCATTCATATTAACTTGAGTTTATAGGTAAACAACTAAAATTAACCAGAACCTTGCTGGAATTGAAGCAATGTGGATAAGCACTCCTATAGTTGATGAGAACTATCTATACGTTATTATAAAGTATATCATTTGACCAAATAAAATGGAACTGGTGGAAAAGGCATATGAAACATGCTTTGAGCTATCCAAAACATGAAAATTCAAATTAAATAAGCAAATAAGCTAGAAGGTGATTATTTATATTCTAATCATTCAGAATAAGAGTGTATTAAATAACGAGCCCTTCTGACATACTCAGCTGTGATTTACTTTATGAGAATCTAATCTACATGGAGAATTTTTTTCAAGAACGCATATGTCCCATATATGAAACCAAGGTGGCCTTAATGAACAGTTTCATTAAATACGAGCTTCGATTGTTTGCTTAAAATACAGTCTTAGCTCTCAGTTCAGGCTGCTCTGAGTTCATCCTCTAAGAAGAGAGATCGTCCTCTAGCTGCCTCTTTCATTGCCACTGCCCCTCCCAGCATCTCACTCTAGATCTTTAGGAATCCTCTCCTGGCGATCACAACAGCCTCCTAGCTGAGTTCCTGCTTTCCAAGCCTTCCCCTTGGGTGTAATTCATCACCCATTCTGGGGATCTTCGAAGATAGACGCTTGATTCTAAAAATCCACCCAGAGATGTTGCAGTTCCCTGAGGCTAAAGAACAAATCCCGTGGCAGAGCACACATCAGTGTTCTGGCCTCATTTGTCCTCATTTCGCACACAGCCCTACCACTTACATCAAAATGGCAGTGAATTAAACTTCCTGCTGTTCCTTGGGTTTCCTTATGCCTCTGTGCCTTTCCACAAGCTCTTGCCCTGTGGAAACAGCCTTTCCCCTTTAACACAGCTGAATCCTATTTGGCCATCAAATGCCTCTTCCTCCAGGAAGGCACCCTTGACTTCAACGTGCCCCTGCCCTCCCTCTACCGGTCTATCGCAGGGCTCCCCTCCTTTGCTTCAAAGGCACCCCCGCTAACCTTGCTTGATGCTTAACACGCTGTGCTGTAATCATCTGAAAAAAATGTTTCCATCTTTCCCAGTCTACTGTGACCAGTTGCCTGCAAAGGTCCACGGGCCTAACACGGTGCCTGGCACGTGTTAGTCCTTTGGCAAACGTTTGTTGCATGAACGAAGTGGATGCACTTTTTAAAGCAGCAGCGACCTGTTTGGTTGCCACACACAAAATTTCAAACGAGAAGGAGGATTACCATACAGGGTGATTTGTCTGCGTGCTTTGTTTCCCTGTCCTATGATGTCAGGGATCAAAGGGTAGCATTTGCCCCTCTTCAGACTGGAAATAGCTTTGTTTTTACTGCTTTTTCGTCCTGCATATTAGAGGGAGCTTTCATGGTAGACTTTAATATGACTTGATTGTGTCTGTACTCATATGCCTCAATACCCTGCTTTTCACCACAAGTCAGCAAGATCAAAATCTTCTCCTAATTATCTTCCCTACCTGCTGAAATATCAGTGCTGGGAATGCGTCAGTTGCTCAAGTTACACTGGTGGTAACGGCGCACGTTCCCATGAGGCAGGGTGGTGATGCCCGCACTTCAAAGGGCCTATGCCGAGCGGTGATGTACATTGTAGTTCAACTGAAGCGTAATTAGGGTGGCATGCTGTATTCTGACTTCTGCTCGTATCACAGAGAATCCATTCCAGTAGTGCGCACAGTCACCTTTACGGCGGCCCCAGAGTTAAACAGGGAGTGGCTTTTCGACTCCTCCAGGGTCCATCCGCCTGGAGATGGCACCTGGCGGTCCCGGGGCCAAGTTTATCGCAACTTACGTGTAACGACCCGCTGCTTCAGTCTCAGGTACAGTGTTTCAAGGGTTCCCGGTGGCAAGCGTCGATTTTCATTTCAGCTACGGCTCAGAACAGTTCGAGACATGCGCCAAGTCGTGAGATTTGTCATTTACAGAGTCTGTGTCAACGAGCAAGTTTCCTAACCTCTGAGATTCAGTGTTTTCTTCCGAACGCAAATTAATGCCTCCACCGCCGGCATTCCGTACGTAGTTTCCCATACGTAGTTTCCCATACGACGTGCACCCAGACAGACGTGTGTGCGAATGTCTATATATGCATGTACGTCTGTGTATATGCGTATAGGTATCTATCGATCTCAAGAGGAGTAATCAACGGAGTAGGTACACAGTCATTTTTTCTAATTGTTGCCATTTTGTCTTCCGTCCCAACATCTCCAAGCAGGTGAATCACCCAACCTCCCGGTTCCCTTATGCTTTATGACACAGTAGCCTTTGTGAACTCTCTTTCATTCTAAAGAGGAGTAAGCGGAAACATCGGCAATAGTCAATACATCCTTAAGATGACTGACAAAGATCACACGGAGAGACCCAGGGTCTCTCATGTGTGTCTGAGGCTCACAGTAGAGGCCCTGAGAATGGTTTGGGTGTGTGTTTGAAGGAGGTCACCTGGCCTGTTTTGAACCGCTGATGTTTCTGGTCTCCCGCTGGGGGACTTCAGCTGATTCATCACTGTCAAGAACACAGAATCAGGAGTTAGAGAAGTATGAGTTTATTTTCAGGTTCTGTCATCTAACAGTCGTGTAAGCTTAAGCAAGCTCCAAAACTTATGTAAGCTTCAATTTTACATCTATGCAATGGGAAGGATAATGGCACTTGCCGCATAAGGCTATTGAGAAGATTAACTGGGACAATGTAGATAGAGCTCTTGGCATTATGTCTGTCTCATTCTCAGATCCAATAAATATCATTATTCTTGCTACTACTTTACCACATCTCCTTTTCCCTTTACCACCTCCGCCGATTTCCTCTCCTCTCACACAGGCACACTCTCAACCCAACCTCAAACCCACCCCTAGGTTTTCAAATATCCTGGAAGGTGTCACCGGGCGCTGGAACGAGTACGTGAAAATATAGGCTGTGCGTACATTAGCTCTGGAATTCACTCCACCCCCACCTTTGCTTCTCAAGCATTTGCTCATCACCAAGACCCACGCCACATCTGACAATTCTCCCGGTAACGGGTGCAGCGAAAATTTGAACTCGAACGCAGGCTGAGAGCCTTTTTTAAAGCAAGATTTCTTAGTTGTCACAATAAACTGAATTTTCGGGTATGCACGGTGTTATCGGCGAGCAGTATCAAACCTTCCGAGTCATCAGCAAAAAACTAGGTTGAGTTGGATGGAAGAATGCTCTGCGTGTGATTCTATCACTTCCTATCTCAAAGCAAATCAACGACAATACCAGAGCGGTTCCTGTAGCAGTGTTTGGGTGTAACAGTGTGTCAACAGACCTGCACCATAGAATTCTGTTAATGTTTCAACTGCAAGGCAAGACTTAGTAGAGTATAAACTTGTTGGGATCTTGATATGCAAATTTAAACAGGGAGGGAGCAGAAGACCAGTAGTGAAGGGTAAAGGGAAATAAGGAGGAAGTGAAGGAGGAGGGTCAGACGGACAGTCAGAGATGGTTGTCACACGAATACTCGGTATTGTGGGACAATTTTCTGAGTATTTGTTATCTGTTAAGAATTTTCATTTCCCTCTTGTATCTACTTCTTTCAGCAAAGGATATTTTTTTAAAAATTCCAAACCCTCAGTGAATTCTCATAAGTGCTATTAAAATTGAGAGAAAAAAAATTCTCAGTTTTTAAAGAATTAGAGTAGGCAGTTAGACATTTCAATTGTTGGCAAGTTTTCAAATATTCCAGATTTACAGTAAGAAAAAAAAACCAGTTTTCTGGAAATAGCGATTTCGAGGGGCCACACCTTGCTAATAACTTCGCATTCGGCCTCTTAAGCGCGAGAGATGTATTTCATTATTGAATGTATTTTCCCCTTCTTCACGTGAATACGTCCTAGCCTTATGAAGTTATGATGTTGGCTCCTTCAAGAGCAAGTACTGTGATATGAGTCTCGAATTCAGATGTCAACAGAGGGTGAGCAGGTAAGAAGATCCAGAGAGGCACGGAAGCTGTTCAGTGATAGATCCTTCCACGTGGCACTGAGTGCCAGTCAATTCTTGCCATGCCAAAATGGGAAAGAAGAGGCCGAGAAAGGGGTACTCTATAGATGTTACACCGTCTGGCACGCAACATATTTTTCATTTATGTGTCTGTTTCTCTTCTCCTTCCTCAAGGGCGAAGAACTTGGGGCCCTCAATACATATGTATTGAATACACTTTAAAAATCTCGGATGAAGATAATGACATTCCATCTATAACATGGATGTACAACTGTACAGTGTGGTAGCTACAGGGGTTTGACCTTGCTACTTTCCCTTCCCTTTTCTCTATTTCTTTGGCAAATAAGTATTGAAAGTCTATAAAGTGCCCGACGCTGTGGCGGGGAGTCCAGCAGAGAACCAAGCAGGAAAAATCCTTGTTTTCACGGTACTTACATTCTATGTGGGAAGATGTGGACAATAAACTAAGTATATTCATAATGAGCATATATTGAAATTATATAATAAGTATATGTTTATAAGTATGTATTTATGTACATGCTTATTTGTTTATTGTCTGCATCGTCCCGGCTGGAATGTAACCATTCAACACCTAGGTAAGTGTGTGTGTGTGTGTGTGTGTGTGTGCGCGCGCGCACTGAGCATGATCTCAGTGATGAACCGTGGAATCCACGCTTTCCTCCTTACGCCCACAAGTGCTTGCTGAGAGCCTCTGATGCATCATGCTGAATGATGGGGATGGACTGGGTGAAAGTCCTTAAGAGGAAGAAGGACCCCTAAGATGACAGGGCAGTTCTGTGATATGTAAGAGTAAAGGCAATATCAAATATGGCTTAAGAAACTTTTCTGTTGTCGAACTTTAAACTAGTTTAAGTGGAAAGAGGCTTTTCTGGCTTGCTTTCGGCCTCTTGCCTGCATTCCAGACAGGTGAAGTTGCCAGATATTTAAGTTTGCTTTTTTTTTTTTTTTACTTATAGGGCTTGTCTACACTGAGTTAAATATGACAACATAAATGAAATTGCTCTTTATTTAAATGATAGATTTGTAATAAAGACCTAGGTTGGGATTTGGTATGAGAAATCTACCATTTGCTAGTAAGCTCCATGAAGGTAGCAATAATGTCTGTTGCTCAATAAATAGTTATTGAATAAACGGAAAAGCTTCCAAACCTTGCAGTGTTACCCTTTTACTGTTTGAACTCGATGACACTGCTGGGTTTACTTCCTCTGTTAGAAAATATTTATCGAGAACTACTTTCTGCCAGGCGTTATGTTAGGCACTGGGATATGCTTGACGATCAAGCTAAAATAGTCTGTTTCCACAGATCTTTCTAGAAGGTGAGATAAAGCTTAATCAAATAACCACATAAATAATGTAAAATTGCAACCACAATTGCATACTAGTAAGAGTTATAAGCCGTCAGGAACACATGAATGCATTCATTCATTAATTCAGTAATTATTTGTTAGGACCTAGTATGTACTGGGCGCTCTCTTGGAAGCACCAGGGACGCAGCAGTGAACAAATTAGGTAAAGCTTCTTATCATCATGAATATGAAGTTCAAGTGGGAGGGACTAAATAATAAACCAGATCCTTAACTGATCATTAATTAGCAGGGAAAGGGACAGGAGTGGCCAAGGTGCCCTGGAAGAGAAGGAGTCAGTGGTAAGGCGACTTTTGAATAAGAATGTGGAAGACTAAGTGATCTATTTAGCCTTTCTGCCTCCTCCATCTCAACAATGAGCAAATATTGTGCAGAAACCAGGGGTCTTCTGGTGATTAAATGAACGTGCATAAGCGAACGCTTTGAAACTAGTGCCTGGCGCTCAGTAAATGGTGCCGAACTGGATAAATCTCGCTGTTCCCGGTATTCAGACGAGGTGCTGAAAATCTGGTTCACACGTGCGTACATTTCCCCTATGTTGTTCCACCTCACTTTTCAAACAAATAAACCAACCTCCCCCACCCGCTTTTAATGTGATAAGTAACATTTGCTTGCAACCAATACCTGTTGCACTGAGATATGCTTCTGGTTTATTCGCCTCATTTAGCTGCAGGGTCATAAGCAGCCAGGATGCCATATGCTCTGGTTTGTTGAAGGCATTGCCTGAGATGTATCGAAGAGTAACACAAGTGACATGTGGTGGCAGTTCCAGGTCAGGACGCAAAACATCCTGAACAAATTTCCCCATGGGAGTTCCAGGAGTGTCTGTATCTGGAAGCGGTGGATTGAATAGCACGTTGGCTTGCAGGGTGACCTTGGTAGGATGCGTAACCCTCTTAGATCTCAGTTTTCTCCTCCGTGAAACAAAGGGAGTGCTAACCTTCTCTGACCCCTCAGAAGCGTTGGGAGGGGGAAATAAGTTAATGTTTGGAAAGGCCTGTGTGACCCTTGGAGCCAAGACATTATCAAAGTACAAAGTAAATTACAGGGACTGTTTGCTATCCCATTAGTAACTCAAATAGTACAAGGGGCTCCTTCTGTTAAGTCCTTGTAAGTCAAGCCTGTAATACACACTTGTTTTTTTTTTTTTTTTTTTCCACCGGGACAAAAATGGAAACAAAAGAGTTGGAAACTCTTCCTCCTGAGCCTCATTTTTAAAAGGTTCGGCAGTGGAAATTCTGATGGGCACTGACAGGTTTCCTCCCCTCGGAACACCCTGCCCAATTCCCTCATCAAGTCTCAGGATCTTGGAAACAAGATCAAATTTAGAACTTGGAGCCTGGACCCAAGGCTTCAGGACTTTTGTGACTTTCACCGAGTCACTTAGCAGCCCCAACACTCTGTTTCTGGGCGTGTAAAACGAGAAGGATTCTCTTCCTCCTTTGCCTCCTCCCCCCCACCTCCTCCTCTTTCTCATCATATCTTCTCGGGTATGGTGTCTCTTTAATATAACTAAATAGCTAAAATATATAGACTGTCAACTCGTATTATGTTAAGCACTCTATTCATACTATCTCTTTAAATCCTCCCCAAACCCCTATGAAGTATGATCTCTTATTATCCATAATTTTCTTACAAAAAATGAGGCCACTCAGAGTTAACTGACCCATAGTTACAAAACTCAAAGGCAGGAAAGCTAGAATTCCCCACAGATCTACCTGATTCCAGGCCAGAAAGCTGAACCTTAGCCATCTAGGCTCTATTCCTCTTCGTATACACTCAACCTGGCACAAAACAGATCCGCAGTCCCAGCGTTATGCACCTCCAGAGCGACGCTGCTTTGTGATTTTTCGAGCGTGATTTACATGGTGGTATTAGGATTAATACTCACATTTCCCCAGACCAAATGTGTCCATCCGCCTTTTGTGCAGGACAACAAACATTGAGACATCTGACGTATCTGCCCATTAATCACTGGGCATTTGCAGTAATAAATCCTTTCTAGCTGAAATGAAAAGAGGATGGGTTAGTACCTGGCTATACCAGGCTTGTGCTTGGATCTCCAAAGGTTTATTCTTTCCAACCTGTTAGCCTATAGTGTTAAACCAATTGTAATTATCATAATCGGCCATTTCATTCCTAGCATAATTTCACACCGAGAAAAAGAGCGGAGGTTTGGCGGTTGTGTACTACGAGAGGGGTTGGTGGTAAAAGGCCAATGGGAGTACAAAACACGTAGCTTCTGATAGACCGTGTTTAACAATCCTCCAAATCCTTTAGACACTGACCCTCCTCTAGCATCGAAGCGTGTCTCATATTCCAAGCGACACAACATTTGGCAAAGTTGTTGGAATTGATGTCCTGCCTGTCTCCCTTTCTTAGCTGCTCAGAATGAAAGTCCAAATCTGACTACATGTTGATGAGAGAGAGGGAGAGCCCACTCTTTGGAACTGGTATTTCAATGGATTACTTCATTTTTTCTTAGCTTTTATAAGACATTTTCAGAATCCTCATAACCTTTGTTGACGTCGCCACTAAGCACCGTGTGTTTTATTCGGGCACACAGGGGCAGGACAAAAGGAGGCATGAAATGGGATCATTAGAAATGATCCACTGGAGGCCATGGTGGTCTTAATTTCGATGTGATAATTTCACAGTGATACCCAAGCTATGACTGGGAGGAATAAAGTAGATCCAAATCCAGTGGAAATGAGTGAAAGTAGGTTTCACTTCACTGCAGAAACATCTCAAATACATAAAATCGGGTATTATAGGATTGAAAGAAATGAACGTTTTTTTTTCTTTTTTTCTCATTTCCAAGGAAACTAAATATCATTTTTAAATGGTTTCCCTCCAAACTTAGCCTTCCACCCCCATTTTCCATGAAGTGGATCTTATCATGTGAGTATTAAGCTCACATAAATTCGACAAACTCCATTCTTCATCAGGGAAAAAATGAAATAGTTCAGTTTATTTCCCCCACCACTCCACTAAATGTAGTGATGTACTAGAGTAATCTTCCGGACTGCTGAATAGGATGTCAAGTGCAGAAAAAGGAGCATGTCTTTTGCTGGAATAAAACCAAAACCAAAACTAGGGGTGTTGGATACACTGTCCTGAAATGATGAATATCAGTCTTCAAAGTGTCCCTGAACCTTTCTAATCCATTTTCAACCTAATTTTGATTGAACGTGTTTTTTTTTTTCAACGTTTTTATTTATTTTTGGGACAGAGAGAGACAGAGCATGAACGGGGGAGGGGCAGAGAGAGAGGGAGACAGAATCGGAAACAGGCTGCAGGCTGTGAGCCATCAGCCCAGAGCCTGACGCGGGGCTCGAACTCACGGACCGCGAGATCGTGACCTGGCTGAAGTCGGACGCTTAACCGACTGCGCCACCCAGGCGCCCCTGATTGAACGTGTTTTTATGTCATGTGCTTACTTTAGAACTTTCTATTTCAGAGAGATGCAATCCTTCAATACTTTACCCAAAATTATATTCTAAAGGGCAAGTTGGACCGTACGTTTCCCTAATCAGTTTTTTTCTCCTTCATCCATTCCACAAATATTTAATAAACACCTGTTATCCCGAAAGGTGTTGAAAATACAAAAGAAAATAAAATAGAAAAAATTCTGTTCCCCGTTAAAGGAAGGCCGCAGATAAATAAATAAACGCACACATAACCAAGAAGGTACCGTGTAGCAAAAAAACACTAAAGGGAGAAAAACTCAGAGTGATAGGGAAAAAAAAAAAAAGTAAATCCATTACAGACTGAGCTGTAAGAGGTGTCCTTTCTGAGAAGGTGGTATTTGAGCTGAGATTTAATGAACGGTTGGTGGGAACAACACAGGAAGGAATGATGAAGAGGGTAAGTAGAGGTGTAAATGGTTGCAAAGCCCTGGGGGCAAGAAGGGATCTGGCTTCTGGCTCATGGGAGAAACAGATCAGCAGAGTTGGAGCTGCAGAACCATTGGCTACTGGCAAACTCTTCTCAGCATAGAAAACACTGCTTGATGTGACACTGCCTGACATTCCAACCCCATCTCTCAACACTTCTCTTTTACTCTACCCTCTGAACCGTTTGAGACTTAGCCTGCCTGTACTGGGCTGTTCACATCTCCGTTGATCAGCACACGCTGTTCTCCCTGTTTGGAATGTGCTTCTCTACCCAGTCATCTCTTGGATTTTACTCATCTTTCAAGATAAATCTTCCCTTCCGTCCCTGTGGGATCACAGAGATGCAGTGATTAATTGCCCGAATGATCCAGAACCGTATTACTATCAAAATGCTTGGTCACTTCTTTCAGAGGCTGTATTCTAACTGAGTATCCTCTTGTGCCCTACTTTGACCATCTTCAAATTCAGCATCATATTTTAGATGGCAGACTCCAGAAAAACATGCATCTTTTCTGCCTCTGGTGCAGAAATATAGGCCACCATTCGAAGAATGAATCAATCATTTCTACTTCTTTCTCTTTCTATCTTTCTTCCTTCTTTCTCTTTCCTTTGTTCCTTCCCACCTTCCTTTCCTTCCTTCCTTCCTTCCTTCCTTCCTTCCTTCCTTCCTTCCGGTTCATTTTAACGAAATTTAGGCATCATCCCTGATACCTCCCTTTTCCTCACCCCCCACAGCCGTGTTATCGGAAAATCATGCTTCCTCTGTCCACTGCTACAAACACCTTGCACTGTCGGCTCCCTTCAGCAGATATGATTATGGCAATCCAGTCTCCTTAGTCCTTATGCACCAAGGAATTTCTCACCAGGGCTTTTACACTGTGGCCTCTTCAGAACACACAGAGAGACTGTTCTAAGCCACCCTACTGTGTGCAACGCACCCGGTATTCTTGACCACGTCACCGTTTATTCATAAGCTTTATCAGAATATTAGATTATCTGCTTGTGTACCAGTAATTGTCCACCCTCCCTCGTTTTAATATAGACCCATTGAGGAAAGGGACCTTGCATGTTTTACTCACCACTGTGTCCCAGAACCCAGCATAACATTTGGCAAAAGGACTGGTTGAAAAAGTGGATGAATGCAAGAATGGACACGGACATGAGTGTCTATAATGTGCCAGGCTCTGTGTTAGGTAATGGGAATACAAAAATGTTCATCATGGCCTTCGGCGCTGAGGCCCCTTCCCCCTCATGCAGTTTGGGAGAGAACGTTGTGTCGTGCGGTGAACTAGAACCTTGTGATAATGCCGTAGGGCAGAGGTCATGGGTCTCATCTGGAGGGAAACCAGTCATCTGTGCCCTTAAAGAAGCTCCTAACCTTGGGTGCTTATTCTGTAGTCACCTGGTTTTGATAATAAGACGGTGTGAATGGGTTAGATCAAATATATCCCTTAATTAGCATTCCTCATAGGATATTGTGGTTAATGACTGAAATACCCACTTCTCTTCTAGACTCCAAGATACCAGTGGCCAATACCACCCCGTATCTATTTCTTTCCTACTCTTCACCAAGTCCCACCATAGATGTGCTCATTTTTCCCCTGGAAGCAACCACAATAATTATGGCACCTACTTAATTGTTTTTCAGATTATGTGGGAAACTTTAGAGATTATGTTAGCTTCTCCTAATGTTTCAGATGAGAAAAATGAAGAGCAGAATCATGTTCAAAGTAAATGGCAGAGACAGACTGGGGTCCACAGCTCGAAGGCTCACGTGATTTTCTGGTTCAAAGTTGAATCTTTATCGGAGGGAAGAAGCACCATTCTTGGGAATGGTGCTGGCCGGATGAGTTTTGCTCTCACATGGCCAGGCAGCAAAGATAGGAGAACTGTGTGCTGAGCTGGCATCGAGAGCTGATGTTTCATCTACAGAAGACTCATAGCATATGCTAACCTGACAGCAAGGAAATCCTGCAGGTACTGAAACTCACTGGCAACAAGGAACTCAGAGTTGTCACTGATCTATCAGGTGATGTTGGAGAAGAACATTCCCTTCTGGACTCCGGTCTATTTGCAGTGACAATAGAAGATTAGACCTGAAAGCAAGTTGGAGGCAGACAGCGTAGCAATCCTTTCCCATATGTAGGTCCATAAGTTTAACATTTTCAAAGAATTGGCATAGAGCATGTGATGATTAATTTTATATGTCAACTTGACTGGGCCAGGGTGCCTATATCTGGGTGTGTCTGTGATTGTGTTTCTGGAAGAGATACACATTTGAATAGATATACTGAGTAAAGCAGAGTAAAGCAGAGTGTGGGTGGGCCTCAGTCTTTTGAGGGCCTGCATAGAACCAAAAGGCATAAGAAGGGAGAACTCTCTTTCTGCCTGGTTGCTGAGATGAAACATTGATCTTCTCGTGCCCTCGGACTGAAACATATGCCATTGCTTCCTCTGGGTCTGAAGCCTCCAGACTTGGACTGGAGCTACATCACTGGTTTTCCGGGATCTCTGATTGTGGGACTCCTTAGCCTTCATCCTTGGGTAAGAGGATCCCTTATGATAAACCTTTTTGTCGGTTCGGTTTCGCTGGATAACCCTAATAGCTTCTTGGGTAAGAATTCCTCACCCAAACTTTAACATCAGTTCCTTATAGGTCCTATTGCATTACTGTAGTGTTTCATCAGTCAGAATTCATCTAATCTCAACTGCCTATTTTTTTGACCTTCTATTGTCTGGGCTACTGATGTACTCCTGGGCCCTTCGTGAAGCCTTTCGGATGGCTTAGCTAAGGTTTGCACAAAGGTCAGATAGCAGGGCTGTGGAGACTTCCCATGTGGTCTGGGCAAACCTTCCTTCTCAAAAGCCATTAGCCCAAACATTGTGCAGTTGAGCCTGCATTCACACATTACACAAAACGTAATCAGTAAGCAACTTCATTCTCTAGATCAGATTCTTTTTCTGGGCCCACACTTCTGTGGCTGGAAGGGGGAAATGGTTGTTGGTACTTAAATTCTCCATACCCTTCTCACCTAACATAGTCTCTTTGCTGTTCTGTGTCCTTACTCT